ATACGGCGTTGAAATAATGAAAAGGTAAAGAGCTAGATCTCTGCTAATATCAAAATGAATTTGGAAATTTTGGAATATCGTTTAATCCTCCATTACTATTATTATTTTTGATTTGTTTTTTTTTATTTTATTTTAAGGAGTACAACAAAAAATCATTCTAATCACTTAAAACTAAAAGTTATGTTCTTTTAATAAATCTTTAGTTTGTGTTTTTTTTTTGTCAATGAAGGTTTTTTTATTATTAATCTTAGGTAAATATGATGTAGTACATGTTTAAAGATAATTTTAATTATTTGACATTAATGAGTATTATTAATGTTCGAACTCAAAACTTTAAAAAGTAACAATAATTTTTTTTATCACTGATGGTTGATTAAGATTCTAAATATAGGTTGAGTTGATTATAAGTAATTCATATCATCATTATAATTCCAACTAATTAAATACTAAAATTATGTTTTATAAAAGAAACAATTTTTTTAAAAATATTTAAGATATTAAAATTAGAGGGAATATATATAGCTGGTTGAATATAACAACATTTAAGGATTAGTTTAATATGTCAATAACGTTTTGGCTTATACGGTAGAGGTGAAGTTTTACAAATCATGAACACATTAAATGGTTATAGTGGTAAAAAAGAATGTTATTATTTTTAAAAAAATTGGATTCAGGCATTTAAATTTGTAAAATATGTATATTATAATCACCCAAGTTATTTAAAAAGTTTATGATATTTTATGTTTGTGGAAATACTATGTGCTTCTATTTATTTTAATTTATATTTAAATATATTCATATTAGGTATTATATTATGTATTATAAAGATTAATTCTTCTAATAATTATTTGGATATGTAAAATTTATATTGATGTATTTGGTGTAATCTATTTTATTAATGCTGATTAGAATATTAATGCGAAACCTACAAGGCTACAACTATTGTAAATTGTTCCTAACATCACAAATTTTGATTTGAGGAGGATATACCTTTCAAGCAAGAAATTAATGATGTTAAAGGCATTCACAAATTAAAAGAAGTAATTTCTTATTTAAATTATAGAAATGCCTTGAATGTTGAACTAGTTAATTATATATGTGTATTTTTGGCAAAAATCGTGAGATAATAGTGTGGAGAAAAAAAATTCTTGAGATAATGTTGTTGGAGAATTATTTGCTGAGATAGGGCGTTTGCTACATTCGAACGTTGGTCGTCAAGTAATCCGAGCGATTAAGGAGGTCGCCAAGCCATCCCTGCGACCTGTGCATGCGCCATGGCTGTAGGTCGCCATGCACGCCAACTACATGCATATTCATGCTTAAATCTTTAGAATTTCAACATCTTTAATATAATATTCATGCCATGGCTTCCACGTGCATGGCTTATTATTTTATTAGATTTATTTTTTATAGTATTATTTTGATTATTAAATGATATATGTTTTTATTTTATTATTATATTAACATTAATATTTTTTATAGTATTGATATATGTTTTTTTACTTTTTAAAATTTTTGAATTATTTAATCAGATTTGTTTTATATAATATTATTTTTATTATTAAATGATTAATTTTTATTATCTAATGATTTAAAAAATAGCCTATTAATATATTATTATGTGTTATTAATCTTAGATTGACTACCAAAACTGTGATGGTTTGTATAAAATAAGATTGCCTATTAGATTGGGCAAAATTCTTGAGATAATGATGTGAAAAAAAAAATCTTGAGATAATGTTGTTGAAGAATTAATTGCTGAGATAGGGCAATGCTATGTTGAGGGCAATGAAAGGGGTAGAGGATGGTGATATCTACCATGATGGTGGTTACATATTTGTTTTTTATAAGAAGAAATTGATTGGAGGGAGAATGTTTAGATTTAGTGTTTAGGATTTAGTGTTTAGGGTTTAAATTTTAGGTTTTATGGTTTTCAATAACAACTAAATATTTTAGGGTTTAGGGTTTGCAAAATCAATAATTACTGATATTATTTGTTGTATATTGATTTTGGAAGCCTAAACCCTAAAATATTTTGGTTGTTGCTGAAAACCTTTATAAGTTCATGGTATGTTGAGGGCAATGAAAGGGGTAGAGGATGGTGATATCTACCATGATGGTGGTTACAAATTTGTTTTTTATAAGAAAAAATTGATTAGAGGGAGAATGGTTAGGATTTAGTGTTTAAGGTTTAGCGTTTAGAGTTTTCAACAATAACCAAAATATTTTAGGGTTTAGGGTTTAGGATTCACAAAATCAATAGTTCCTTATATTATTTGTTGTATATTGATTTTGGAACCTTAAACCCTAAAATATTTTGATTATTGCTGAAAACCTTTATAAACTCATGATATGTTGAGGGCAATGAAGGGGGTAGAGGATGGTGATATCTACCATGATGGTGGTTACATATTTGTTTTTTATAAGAAGAAATTGATTGGAGGGAGAATGGTTAGGGTTTAGGGTTTAGGGTTTAGGGTTCACAAAATCAATAGTTACTTATATTATTTGTTGTATATTGATTTTGCAAACCCTAAACCCTAAAATATTTTAGTTGTTGCTAAAAACCCTAAACCCTAAACCCTAAATCCTAATCATTCTCCCTCCAATCAATTTTTTCTTATAAAAAACAAATCATTATCTCAAGAATTTTGCCCAATCTAATAGGCAATCTTATTTTATACAAACCATCACAGTTTTGGTAGTCAATCTAAGATTAATATCACATAATAATAAATTAATAGGCTATTTTTTAAATCATTAGATAATAAAAGTTAATCATTTAATAAAAAAATAATATTATATAAAACAAATCTGATTAAATAATTCGAAAATTTTAAAAAGTAAAAAAACATATATCAATAATATAAAAAATATTAATGTTAATATAATAATAAAATAAAAACATATATCATTTAATAATAAAAATAATACTCTATAAAACAAATCTAATAAAATAATAAGCCATGCACGTGGAAGCCATGTCATGAATATTATATTAAAGATGTTGAAATTCTAAAGATTCAAGCATGAATATGCAGGTAGTTGGCGTGCATGGCGACCTACTGCCATGGCGCATGCACAGGTCGCAGGGATGGCTTGGTGACCTCCTTTATCGCTCGGACCACTTGGCGACCAACGTTCGAACTGTAGCAAACGCCCTATCTCAGTAAATAATTCTCTAACAACATTATCTCATGAATTTTTTTCTCCACACCATTATCTCACGATTTTTGCCGTGTATTTTTTTGTTGCCCTCCCAATTTAAAGGGGATTTGTCTTGACTAATTTGGATCGACTCGCGTCACACGTCTAATTTTAATGAGTGGGTCTCCCAATAGAGATTTTTTGCATACACAATGACTCGAACTCAAGATCTTATTTAAGTCAAGTTGTTTACCACTTGAATCAATCTTTATTGATACTATATATGTATTTTAGCAAATAATAAAATTTAAAAAAAAACTAAGAGTTGTCTAGAAAGCATTTTGGTTTTATGTATTATATATAAAATTTTCAATATATTTAATAAATTATTATTTTATATATTTTTCAGATTCTTAAGGATTTTTTTAAAAGATTATTATCTTATACATTTAGTGAATTTTTTTTATCCCATTGATGCAAGTCTCGACCGAAAAAATTATTATCTAAACAAGATCATTAGTTATTGAGTATTCATTTATCGATGTTCTAGTGTTAAAAACTTACAAAGATACTAATAGTTTATAAAAAAATTACAAATTTAATAATTGAATTATCTTATCATTTTTATATTATATTATATTTTTTATTTTTTAATTTAATAAATGAATTTATACATTGATTTTTTTGTATTCTACTATGACATGAATTATTTTATTATACTTTTTTATGATGTGTTATATTTTATTAATATTTTAATACTACATAATTAAAAAAATAAATTATACAAAATTTATAGTTTATTCAAATATAAAATACATATCTGTTATCGCAAATTTACAACCTCACTCACTTTCAGTCTGTTTTTACTACAAAGACGAGCAAACAGCGACTGAGAAACGAAACACTTACACAGGTAGAGGGAGAAACGCTACAGTAACGGTAAGCGTCGTACACATATGCTACAAGTATCACTAACTCTAAAAGTTTAACGGAGAGACAGAGAACTGATTAGATTTTCATTTTTACTTATTATTTGTTCTGAAAATATAAATAAGCAATTACTATATAGCAATTCGCGAAGATGATGACGATCATTCCCATGGCGTCGTCCTCAATACGACCATCGTTCTCATCGTTTAGGTTCTCTGGTTGTGTTGCTTCCACGTGTTTGGGCGTTTCCCTTTCTCCGCTTCAATTTCCCCGGCGCTTCCTTTTCTCTCATATCGGCAGCGGTAAGCACTATTTCCTCTTTTCTTTTTGCTTTAATAAACTTTTTTCCTTTTACGCCCTAAAATTTTCTTATTAGTTTAATTATTTATTGAAGAATTAGATGGAATCGAGCATTGATGTGAAATTTCCACTGTTCATTTTAGATTAAGCGTCTGTTTGATTGGGGAAAAATATTTTACATAAAATGTTTTCTCTGTTTTCCTGTGTTTGGTTCCCGTAAAACACCAAAGTCAACGTATTTTATTTTAGAGTCAATGTAAAAGGGAGAGAAAAACACGGGAAAATGACTTACCGTTTGGAAAAGGGTAAGTTGTTTTCCATCTTTCTCTCGTCCCTTGCTCCACAACGAGAAGAAGCTTTGTTCTCCCGTCCCTTGCTCCACACCGAAAAATCGATCCATCCAGTGGCCTCCTTCTCACCGGCGAGGCAGGCAGTCGTCTTCTCAGGTATCTCTCTTTTCATCTTCTCCCTTTTCATCTTCCTTGACCTCCTTTTCTTGATTCATCTTTCTTGACCTCCATTTTCATTTTCACCGACGAGGCTGGTTTTCAGTTCTTCAGATTATTGTTTTAACATTTACATCTGATTATCAAGGTCGGAAAATTATAACCCTAGATTCGAAAATGGAAATCGATGTAGGTAGGAGCGATTTCGAGAAAGATGAAAAGGAAGACGACGACTCAGTTTCTGATCTCTTGAGAGATCGCTTTCGTCTCTCTCCCATCTCCATCGCCGAATACGAAGGTCCGTTTTTCACCCAATTCCGTTTCTTATTTCCGGCTTCTTTTTCTCAAATAAAATATTACAGAATTTCCGTTATGGACTGAATTGAATTTTCAAATCTTCAACTAATTGAAGCACAACTAAGAGAAACGGTATGGAGATTTCTTAACCAATTGTAGCTTGCATCGCCGATTTGGCCTTCAAATACATCGATAAATATGCAACATTCTGTTATTTTCTATTTCAGTTTTCCTTTTATGTTATTTCTACTTTCTTATTTTTATTTGAAAACATCTTAATTGTCAAATTCACTGGATTTGGTTTCTATATAATCGTTGTTTTATTGGGTTTAATGGTGTAGCTGAATGAATAAATTATTTTGATTTTGTGTCAATTTGCAAAATCAGCCTCTATTGGAGGTTATCATTGCTATTATATTAAGAACATCTATGAACTTGGTATTAACAATGTCAGAGTTGTTTCTGCATTTGTTGTTTGACATTATTATGAAAAAGCTCCCCTGAACCAATGAACCATTCAGCTGCTTGAGTTGCAGGTCTGCTGGCAAAGGACCTTGAGCTATTTGCACACCACACTGGTCGTAAATCCGTGACCATGGGAGATGTCATAGCTTCTGGTGAGTGTGTCACTAATCTCAAATAATTGATTTATTTATTCTTTTATGCTTTTATTTTGAGTTAGTGACGCTGACAACCATTATCATCTTCTAAGTAGTGATTTATTTCGAGAGAGATAGACCCTGCTTCTTTCATATCGATGTGTTACATTAGTAGATTCATATTTGTTTTGATTTATAGAAATATAAAACCTATTCACTTCAATTTCAGCTCATAGAAATAAACATTTTGTTGTCTCGTCGAGGTCCATTTCATATCAATAGGTTAGAAGTAGCCGAATGGTATCAATATGTTGAGGTCCATTTATATCGACAAGTTAGAAGTAGGCAGCTCATTTTGTTCAGGTCCATTGAAACATAAAATCTATTCTCGTCCATTTTCAGCTCATAGAAATGATCATTTACTGCCTCGAGGTACATCTCATATGGACATGTTCAAAGTAGCCAATTTGTATTTGTTCATATCCATAGAAACATGAAATCTACTCTCTTCAATTCTCTGCTCATAGAAATGAACGTTTAGCTATTTCTTTGTGGTATGTATCATATTGATCCATATTTTGCTCAGTTCCATTGAAACATAAAATGTGTTCTCTTCCATTTTCTGCTCATAGAAACGAACATTTAGCTGCGTCTGTTGAGGTCCTTCTGCGATGAGCTTAAAGCAAATGAACCCCAATGTGAAAGGAAGAAGAAGAAAGTACCCAGAAAAGACGATAAGGCTATTGAAGATATTGTGCATATCTCTGATTTCTGATTCATGATTTTGGATAATTAATCCTATCTGCAAATATCAGACATTACAAGTCTTTTACACACAAAAATATGCAAAACCATGATGAATGGTAATTCAATTTGTAATACAATCTACTTTCACCTTAAATTTTTATAGGTTAAGTTACTTGGTGGATTACTTGTATTACAAGATTGTTAGTTATTAAGATGAGTTCAAATTACTCGTTACTGAGTGAAATGAATTCAAATATATTAGCTCTCTGTTTTTTATAAACCTAAAATACATATTTTTGTAAACCCTACATAAAATAAACCTAAAATAGTGTATTTATAACACAATCAACATAAATTATTAATATTATTTAAAATACAAATTTTTATAAAATATAATTATTTATAAAAAATGAACCTTTAAAAATAATAAAGAATAAAACATATTGAATATGTATACTTTTATTAAAAACAGATTCTGAAAACTGTTTTCAGAAAAATTAATCAAACAATATAAAATATTTTACAATGTACCATCCAAACACTGAAAAATATTTTCTGGAAAATGATTTAAATTTCTATAAAACATTTTCCAGAATTCATTTTCCGGAAAATATTTTCAGTGAAACAAACGGACCCTAAGATTTAAAACACACATGTAAAATGATCTTTAAGGAATTTAAAACACACACGTAAAATGATTTGCATTTTTATCGCCTGTCAGATTGTGAGAATATGTAACATTATCTGGAGGTTCTGTTGAGTTTTATAGAATGGAAAAATAGATTTTGATTGTATTTGATATAAATGTATCTCTTTTGAAAAAAAATTCAGCTATTCCGCAGTCGCAGTTCTTCGGTTTCAAAGCTTCTAAGATGTCGAGAGATGGAGAAACTAAGTCAGGGATGCCTATTGTTGGGAATGTGTTACAGGCAAGAATGGCTGCCACCCAAGAGACTGCTGCCCTTGAGTGGGTTGAAAAGGACAACCGAAGAATGCTCCATGTTATTTACCGAGTTGGGGATTTGGATAGGACCATCAAGTATGTCATTTCGAGATTTATGCTTTTCATACAATCTTGCGGTTTGAATCTTTGTAACAATCTCGAATGTGTGGTGGTTGCAGATTCTATACTGAGCGTCTGGGAATGAAGCTGTTGAGGAAACGGGACATACCAGAGGAGAGATACACAAATGCCTTTCTTGGATATGGGCCCGAAGATTCTTACTTTGTTATTGAACTCACTTACAGTAAGTTATTCGATTTCTCTTTGGCTTTTCTAACCCATGTTATAAATCTGAAATGTAACTAGTTAACTATATATGAAAATTTTCATTTGCATTTGTGAAGATTAGAGTTGACAGTGTATATGAGCTTAGCTGTAGATAATTCATTTTCGTTGAATGGTGTTACCAGATTATGGAGTTGATAAGTATGACATTGGAACTGCATTTGGTCAATTCGGTATTGCTGTTGATGATGTAAGTTCGGACTCTGGCTTCTGAAAATTGTATTATCTCATTTCCATTTTAGCAAGATGATTGACTGTTATGTATCTTAGAACTGCTATGTCCATGTTTTCATTTTCCATAGCTGAATACATACTCCCCTGATTTAGGTTGCCAAGACTGTGGAACTAATAAAGGCCAAGGGTGGAAAAGTAACACGAGAACCTGGCCCAGTGAAAGGTGGTTCTACTGTAATTGCATTTGTTGAGGATCCTGATGGTTACAAGTTTGAACTTATTGAGAGGGCGCCTACTCCTGAACCTTTGTGCCAAGTAATGCTCCGTGTTGGTGATCTTGATCGTTCCATAAAATTTTATGAGAAGGTGAGAGTTGTGAATATCGGGCAACAATCTGATTAACCGTCTTTTTCTCGAACACTACTTTGTTATTATTTTAGGGGGCACAGGGATATCTACATCTTAAGTTATGCCATAGGTCTTAGTCTCTATCTCCTTTTGTTGTAGGCCTTTGGCATGGAACTTCTTCACAAACGAGATAATCCACAGTACAAGGTAAATAACTATCCTCTATTCCGTAGGAGATGTGGCAAAGAGAACTCGTTAAAATATGTATTCTGAAAAAAATGTAGAGCAGGATGAGGGGTGTGCATGTTAAAGAAGGATTCAAGTGTGTATTATGTTTCTTTGAATGTGTCCATCATATGATTCCAGAATTGCTTTGTTTATGGCTATATGTTTTTCTCATGTTAATGTGATTGAGAAAAATATTCTGTGAACCTTTCGGTATTCAGATTATATCCATTGACATATCTTTGTGAATTTTCCTTCAGTATACAATAGCCATGATGGGCTATGGGCCTGAAGATAAAAACGCTGTGCTTGAATTGACGTACAACTATGGGGTTACTGATTATGACAAAGGATCAGGTAAAAATATTTCTGCTATCTTTTCACTTCAATGTTAAAAAGATATTTTCCGTAACTGCATGCAGTATGCTTTATGATTCTACCTGTGTTTTTGAACCTTATTTCTTATGTATGGAAACAAGTTAAACGCATATAGCTTGCGTTTCTGCAGATTGCCATCGGAACAGATGATGTTTACAAAACCGCCTAGGCAGTTAAACTCTTTGGTGGAAAAAGTACCCGGGAACCTGGACCTTTACCTGGTATTAACACCAAGATTACGGCATGCTTAGATCCCGATGGTTGGAAGACGGTATACCTTTTGAAGCATTTATAGATTGATGCTTGCTTTCTGAAAGCTGAAAGAAACTTCTTTTTTACTTTGAATTGCTTCTATTAAAAAACGAAAGAAGTACATAAACAACGTTTTCTCATTCATGTGCATTGCTCCAACTCTGAGTTTTATAAGCTTTAGGGAGAAAATATTCTACTTTCAATTCGAAGAATGAGACAACTTGCTTTATTCTAATTCTCTTTATTACTTAAATTTGCAGGTTTTTGTCGATAATATTGATTTCCTCAAGGAATTGGAGTGAGTTTTGGGTGAACTCGTCTCTTATCCTTTTGACGCTGAAATCCAAATCTGAGCTGAAAGGACTTGTCGAAGAAATTCTTCGTGGGAACGCAGCGAATGATGTTTTGTAGATAAATCTTTTATGGCGACAATCGGATAGCCATTAGATTCGAGAAAGTGATGATAATATGTAAGTTCCTGTTTAGTTATCTTCATGTTTTACTTTCTATCAAGTATTTATGTTTGATTCACTTACCTGTTGGGAGACCAATGCAAGCATATAAAATGTATTACAAATTTACAATTTAACATGCTTTCTATTCTTCTTTAAATATCTTCTGACAAATTTCACAGCTATAATCCTTCGGGGTTCATTTTTCTTTAAGTTTTGGTTAGGGAAATAATGTGGGAATGAATTTGCAGTTTTTGGACTAAGGAATTTCGTTCTTTCTGCTGATAATTCAGAAATGGAAATTTTCTCAATATTTTGAATCTTAAGTTCTAGGTTTTTTTTAAGTCAAGATAGATTTAGAGATATGATCTTCAAAAGTCGTAAATGAATCAAATTTGAAGAAATGATTCATTGTTCATATTCATTTATTTATTTTTAAGTATATTCATATTTTCTTCGTGTTTGTTAAGAATTTTATAATTTTATAAACTTTTCAAGTATTAATATGCAATGTAATTAGGCGATCCTTCACATTCAACCATTGTTGTACCCTAATAATAATAATAATAATAATAATAATAATAATAATAATAATAATAATAACCATTGTTGTATCCACTGCTTTATAAATGGAGTAATTCTTTCTATTCTAACATATTAGTTTCTAAACGAACTGCATTTGCAAAAAGAGGATGCTCTTAAAATTTAAAGTATCAAATATTTTGAAGCCGAAATTATAAATGTTAAGACACTGGTAAAAAAAATTGGCTTAACGACCAAAAAGCCATTAACTTTTGTCACATTTTTTAAAGGGAAAATTGCTTCAAATACCACCAAACTTTGAACACTGACTTGTTTATACCACTGAACTTTTAATTTTACCAATTATAATACTTAACTTTGATTTTTGTTTCAATTATGTCACTCCGCTATTAAACAAGTAATGACACAGCGACATGGCTACCACACCAAAATTGTTTTGATGCCTAAAATGACGCCATTTTACTTTAAAAATTTTGATTAAATGTTGAGTTTAAGTGATATGAACCCCGACTTTTGGAATCAAAGGCTAAAGCTTATCCACCCAACCAATTTAAGTTTTTCTTTTTAATATTCTTACAAACATAATAAACATATCATACATTTCAAATTATCTATAATGTTGTAAAATTAAAATAACATTTATAATAAAAATATATGTTATATATTAATATATATATATATATATAATAAATTATATAAGAATATTATAAATAATATTAATAAAAATTTCAGAAAAACCCTTAAAATTTTCAAAATATCCAAATTCCCTTCGAAACCCAAAACTCTAAATATCGAATCCCTAATTTCACACATTGTCATCGTTGTATCAACGACCACCGCACACCACTTCTATTGTCGGACCCTTATTATCAACTATCAAACTTTCATGTCGTCAGAAATCAACAAACGACATGCTAATCGATCGTCAAAAGCCAACTGTGAAATGTTCTAGTCGAACTATGAACGACAATCGATCGATAGACAAATGATGAATGAAGTGCACGATTAGAGGAGGAGACTTCAGTGCGGTAACAACAAAATGCTATTGACGACGATGGTGGGTGAACTTAGGGATTTAGGGAATTTAAGGGGTTTTTTTAGATTTTTGAAATTTAGGATTCTTTTAAGAATTTTAGGAACTTCAAGGGTTTTATGGAAAATTATTTTTTATTCTAAATCATATATAAAATTTTTTATATATACTAATTTTTATATTATATAAATAGTATTTATACATATTAATATTATAAATAATGTTTTAGTTTTAAAACATAGAGTAAATTATAAATTGTATGAATCGTAAGATATGTATATTATGATTGTATAAATATATTAAAAAGTTTAATTTGGTCCAGTTATTAAACTATAGTATTAATTTTTAAAGGTTTTGAGTTCAAATCCACCAAGTATTTTATTTTACTAAATTTCCTCAAATAAAACAACGTCGTTTAGGTCTCTTTGGACATCAAAACAACCACACCAAAACGATGTTACTTTTGGAGTAACAGTCATGTCATCAATCGTTAGTCATGTCACCGTGTCGTTAGTGATTTAATGGCAGAGTGACATAATTGAAGCGAAAATCAAAGTTTAGTGTTAAAATTGACAAAATTAAAAGTTAAATGGTATAAATGAATCAATACTTAAAGTTTGGTCATGTCCGAAGTAGTTTTCCCTTTTATAATGGCAAGATTGGAGATAAATTGTGGCCGAATTTAGCAATATCACGTGGAAGAGCTCATTTGAAATTGTGAGAAATGGAGGGATTTTTTGGTGAAATAAAGGACCATTTTGAAGAGGAAATGCTCCTTTTTGATCGATGATATTGGTTTGATGAAAATACAAATAGAAATCGGAAAGAATTTGAGAGAGAAGTGAGTGTTTGTTCGCTCTAATTTTAAAAAATATTGTATATTAACATCACAAAGACTAAACTTTGCACCCCGTTTCAAATATGTCCCTACACCTAACTAAAGGAAGCATTTAAGAAATTGAGTTCAATTTGGTCCACAATTTCATTCCTAATTTCACCCAAATTCATAACTATAGAACTGTTTTGTTGAGTCATTTGATTATTAAAAGTTACAAAATGATCCTCGTATTATATGTAATTGTTTTTTAGTCCCCCAACTATTTAAAGTTACAAAATGGTCACTTGACTATTCCCAAGTTCCAAACTTGTCATTTTTCGTTAAAAAATGGGCGATCGTCTGATTTGGACATTAACATGTTTATTAAAATATTATAAAATCCGATTTCAAAATCGTTTAAGCTATATTTTGTGGATTGATTCTTCATTTATTATGTCGTCGAGTCAGTGTTTGAAACATTATGTTGTCAAACCAGTGCTTGAGAGTAATGACAATGCTATTAGATATCATTAAAATATAATTTTATCATATGAGAATCAACAGATATATATTCAGCTCAGACGACTGTCAAATTCTTAATAAAAAAGGATGAGTTTGTAACATATGAATAGTCGAGTGATCATTTCTACTTATAATAGTAGATGGACCATTTTATAACTATTAATAGCTGTTGAATAACACCTTATAGTCGGGGACTATTTGTGTACTTTACCCTAGATTTTATTGTTAGACCATATATATTCCTAAAACCGAGCTTTGAACGATTCATCTCGAAGAGATTGTAGCCACTGAAAATATAGCAGCGTTGATTTAATTGGCTAAAGCTTCCCTGTGAACAAGGAGCAAACGCCGAATTACTGTAAATTACATGCACTCCAAACGTTCAACGCGGAGAGGCCATGGAACTTGGAAGGCAAGCAAAAGCATATAAAAGGCGACGAACCCTTCCTGGAAAACTCGGGCAGCAGATCTTCGATAATAAAAAAAATGGAGGTTTAAGTAAAAATAATAATGGTGAATCTTTGGAGAGGCCTTATTATATTACCTCTCCTTTTTATCTAAGGAAACAGTCAATTGATGTTTCCTATTTCCTTCCATCACCCCGGCAAACCCATACTGGATTTCAAGGGTTCGCAGATTGGCCGAGGCATCAGCGGCACTGCATCCTTGGTTGTTGGAGATAGCGGATCTGCTGCTTACGGCGATGACACTGCTTCCGTTGATGGTGCCATTGACATGCAGATGTTGTTGGGGCTCAAACTACTTTTAAGGGCAGTTGGGAATTATGTCGAAAACTCGGGTGTTTCCGCCATGCATTTGGTGTTGCTTCCTAAGATCGACCAGGCTTTGATGTTCGATGCCACAATTTGGAAGATCTCCAAGCTGAAGTTACCGGGGCCACCGTGCCGAAAAGTCGAGGGAACCAATGAAGAAAATTGCTGGTGCCATTCAATTCTCATGGACGTCGAAACAGGAAAAATAAGGCCACTCAGGGTACATTTTATTTTTTACATTAGACTCAAGCTACTTACAACTTCAAGTCCTTTAAATGTGTTTTTCTCCAACAGGTTGAGCATGATACATGGTGTTCATCTGGTGCTCTTGATGTGAATGGCCGATTAGTAAGTACCGGTGGTATAATAATGGATCCGACACTGTTAGAATCCTCGACATAGCTCCCGATTCTGAATGGATAGAATATCCTGGTGCACTTGGAAATGGAAGATGGTATGCCACACAGGTAACCTTAGCCGACGGTCGATTTATGGTTTTCGGTGGCCGGGATTTCCCCACATTCGAGTTCATTCCGCCACAAGGGCAGAAGAATACTCGTAACGATGTCCACTCTTATAAATACCTTGTGGAAACCCATGATCCTGTTGAAAACAATTTGTACCCGTTCATTTATCTTTCCACTGACGGTAATTTTTTCATTTTCGCCAACAACCGTTCGATTATCCTCAACCCAAACAACCACCAAATCGTCCATGAGTTCCCCGTCCTCCCTGGTGGCGCCCGTAACTATCCCGCGTCGGGTACCTCTTGCATTCTCCCCATCATACTTAACCCCAATGAAAACCGAAAGTGATCCCGGCTGAGGTTTTGGTATGCGGCGGAACATCTCACGAGGCGTTCACAAAGGCTGATTTGCAGCGGCCTAAGGTGTCCCTCCCGGGTAACACCGATTGTGGCCGCATCGATATCACCAAGAGGAACTGTAAATGGAAGATCACTAACATGCCGTCGGCTCGTTTAATGGGAGATGCAGTGGTACTCCCTACCGGAGATGTTCTTCTTGTTGTGTAATTCGGGTTAATTTCCACCAATAACATATTTACCTTCGAAACTATTATCTAGATGACTAGTGTGAAAACGATTGTACTAAAAATCACCCCAAGGTATATTCCCAGGAAAGATGAGGGGTCACAATGGTCCCTCTTAAAACCCACTTTCCTTAGACAGAACTACCAAGACAAGTAATTTTAATAGGACAATAATTAACAACAACTATACCCGACAATAGCTATTAAATAGACATAAAAGAGAACACCAAAATATTTCACTAATAGAGGAAATATTACAAAGAGAAAGAAAGAATACAAATAACCTTTAATATAAAAGAAGGCTTATATTTGTGTGATGATTAACTAAGGAGGAGGATGGCTTTATTTATAACAAAAGAATTTCCCCTCCTCCTTACACACAACCAATGTGAGACTTTGCCAAAAACCAGCAAATCTCCACCTTGGCAAATTCCACACACATCTCTAAAAAAACAATCTTTTAATTTGTAACAATATTGAACAAGTCTAAACAATGTTTAAACTTGACCGCAGTTACCACTTTTGTCAACATATCAGCAGGATTCTCAGTGGTCCGGATCTTCTGGATTATGACTCCACCTTCTTCTAGAATCTCTCGTACAAAGTGATATCGAACATCGATGTGCTTCGTCCTTGCATGGTAAACCTGGTTCTTTGCTAAATGAATACCACTCTGACTGTCACAGTGCACTTTGATGTGCTTTTGTTCCATTCCCAATTCACCAAGAAACCCTTGAAGCCAAATTGCCTCCTTCACAGCCTCTGTAACTACCATATACTCTGCCTCTGTAGTAGACAAAGCCACGGTTAACTGTAAGTTGGACTTCCAACTGACTGGTACCTTTGCAAATATAAACACATAACCAGTAGTTGATCGACGCTTGTCCAAATCACCTGCATAGTCTGAATAACAATACCCAACTACACACTGACCGTCTTGTTTGTCCTGCTGAAAGACCAAACCAACATCAACGGTGTTCAGAATATACCACAGAATCCATTTCACAGCTTGCCAATGCTCATTTCCAGGATCATGCATATACCTGCTCACAACCCCAACTGCCTGTGAAATATCGGGTCTCGTACACACCATTGCATACATCAAGCTACCAACAGCACTTGCATACGGAACCTTTGACATGTATTCCCGTTCTGCATCATCCTTAGGTGACATTGATGCACCGAGCTTGAAATGAGGAGCAAGAGGTGTACTAACTATGCCAAAACGTTTTAGTACCTTCCTCAGATATTCTTTCTGAGACAAACAAAGTCTCCCTAATTTCTTATCCCTTGATATCTCCATGCCTAGAATCTTCTTCGCTTCACCAAGATCCTTCATCTCAAACTCCCTGTTCAATTGAGTCTTTAGTTTCGCAATTTCTGTCTGACTCCTGTAAGCTATCAACATATCATCAACATAAAGAAGAAGATATATATAGGATCCGTCTTCTAGCTCGTGTAAATACACACAATGATCATATTTGCTTCTTGTGTACTTCTGCCCTATCATAAACTTGTCAAATCGCTTGTACCACTGCCTTGGAGATTGCTTTAATCCATACAACGATTTTTCTAATTTGCACACCATCTCTTCTTTTTCAGCAACTTTGAATCCATCTGGTTGAGTCATGTAGATTTCCTCATCCAAGTCTCCATGTAAAAATGCAGTTTTTACATCCATCTGAACTAGTTCCAAATCCAACTGCGCTACCAAAGCCAACAAAATTCTGATGCAGAAATGTTTTACAACTGGAGAAAATACTTCATTATAATCATCTCCCTCCGTTTGAGCGTAGCCTTTAGCCACCAATCTTGCTTTGTAGCAGATGTTATTCTTGTCAGGAAATCCATTTTTCTTTGCATATACCCACTTGCACCCAATTGCCTTCTTTCCCTTCGGAAGACTAGCTAGTTTCCACGTCTGATTCTTTTGAAGGGATTGCATTTCTTCATTCATGGCGATCCTCCACTTTTTATGTTCTGAACTTTGAACTGCTTCATTAAAAGTGGCAGGAACGTCATCAATTGTAATTGGTGATGCAAAAGAGACCATATCAACATAACGAGCAGGTTGTCTAATGGTCCTCTTTCCCTTTCTAAGTGCAATTGATTCATGTTGCTGTGAAGGTTCTTGGGTCTGAACCTCTTCTTCTACCATAGGAGAGTCAACATCAGTTTCTTTACTGGTTGGGACAATCTTGCTTCCTTCAAACTCCACCTGTTTGGGAGTTCCATCTGTCTAGTCCAATTTTTCTGAAGTCACCTTTCTCAACATGGTGGATTCATCAAAGGTAACATCCCTGCTGAAGATTATTTTCTTTGTTTCTGGACACCAAAGACGATAGCCTTTCACACCAGAGGTGATCCCCATAAAGATCGCATTCTTTGCTCTTGGATCCAGCTTTGACTCCTTAACATGGTAGTATGCAGTGGAACCAAACACATGTAAGGAATCATAATCTGTAGCAGGTACTCCAAACCATTTCTCTAATGGTGTTTTACCACCAATAGCAGTCGATGGTAAGCGGTTGACAAGGTGACAAGCATAGACCAAAGCCTCAGCCCAAAATTCTTTGCCTAACCCAACATTAGACAACATACACCGAACCTTCTCCACTAATGTTCGGTTCATACGCTCTGCCACCCCATTCTGTTGTGGTGTACCTCTGATAGTGAAGTGCCTGACAATACCTTCCTCTTCACAGACTTTCAGAAATGGATCATTTTTGTACTCTCCACCATTGTCTGTACGGAGACGTTTGATTTTTCTGCCTGTTTGAGTCTCCATCATCTTTTTCCATTTAAGGAAAAATCCTAGCACCTCATCCTTTGTCTTCATTGGATACACCCAAACTCTCCAGAAAAAATCATCAACAAAGGTGACATAATAGTGTGTTCCTCCCAATGAAGTTATCTTGGAAGGCCCCCATACATCTGAATGAACATAATCCAAAATACCTTTAGTATCATGGATTGATGTTCCAAATTTCACCTTCTAGGCAGTTAAACCATATTATCGGTTCATACGCTCTGCCACCCCATTCTGTTGTGGTGTACCTCTGACAGTGAAGTGCCTGACAATACCTTCCTCTTCACAGACTTTCAGAAATGGATCATTTTTGTACTCTCCACCATTGTCTGTACGGAGACGTTTGATTTTTCTGCTTGTTTGAGTCTCCATCATCTTTTTCCATTTAAGGAAAAATCCTAGCACCTCATCCTTTGTCTTCATTGGATACACCCAAACTCTCCAGAAAAAATCATCAACAAAGGTGACATAATAGTGTGTTCCTCCCAATGAAGTTATCTTGGAAGGCCCCCATACATCTGAATGAACATAATCCAAAATACCTTTAGTATCATGGATTACTGTTCCAAATTTCACCTTCGTCTTCTTCCCTTTGATGCAATGCTCACAAAAAGCTAATTTGCAAGTCCGAGCACCCTTCAATAATCCTTGATCTATGAGTAATTTCAAGGATTTTTCACCAACATGCCCCAAGCGCATATGCCATAACCTGGTTACTTCTGACTCATGTTCATCAGTAGAAGCTGCCACTGCTGCTGTCCTAACAATTGTACTACCCAGAAAGTAATACACATTGTTTATTTTTCGGATTCCCTTCATTATCACCAGTGCACCAGAGATAATCCTCATAATCCCATCTTTTGCCCTCACTTCTAAACGTTTTGACTCTAAGGTTCCCACAGAGATGAGATTTCTCATTAAATCTGGTACATAATGGACACCTGTTAAGGTTTTGATTGATCTATCCTGATTCCTCAAGCGAATTGAACCAATCCCAAGTGTGTCAAGAGGGGAATTATTTGCTGTGTAGACAATTTCACCTTTTAGTTCTTTAAAATCAAAGAACCATTCTCTATTGGGGGTCATATGGTGGCTACAAGCTGAATCTAACAACCATGAACTGGAACAGCTGGTTGATGGCGTAGCAGCGAATGTGAAATCTGAATCTGCATCATCATACTCGACCACATTTGATTCTGAGACATCCTTTCCCCTTTCAGGTTTACCATTATTCTTTAGCATGTGACATTCTTTCTTTCAGTGCCCTTTTTCTTGACAAAAGGCACATTCATCATTGCTCAATCTGGACTTTGACTTCGATCTCCCTCTGCTTCCTTTATTCTGACTCTTCGAATGGCCTCTAACAACAAGAGCTTCTGCTTCGACACTTGTGTTTTCTTGTTTGTCTTTCTTTCTCAATTCATAACTATACAAGGCATCAGTTACTTCACTGAGAGACACATCAACCTTCCCATGAAGTAGAGTAGTTTCAAGATACTCAAACTCATCAAGAAGTGATCCCATCAACATCAGAGCCGGATCTTCGTCTTTAAAAGTCACGTCCATATTCATCAGATCAGTCACCAGCCGATTAAAGCTAGTAATGTGATCATTCATAGTGGTACCTGGTACATAGTTGAAGCGGAACAATCTCTTTTTCATGTAGAGTTTGTTCTGACCGCTTTTCTTCAAAAATTTCTCCTCCAATGCCTTCCACAATTTACTTGCAGAAGTTTCCTTAGAAAATGCATACTTCTGCTCTCTAGAAAGACACGATCGAATAGTACCACATGCCAATCTATTGATCATTTTCCATTCTTTCTCCTCAACATCATCTGGTTTCTCTCCTTCAATAGCAATGTCATGCTGAAATAGGGCATCTAGAACCTCACTTTGCCACATGCCGAAATGACTGGTGCCATAAAAAATCTCCACTGCAAATTTAACATTTGTCACAGCTGCTGACGACGATGTTGATGTTTTTGTTGCGTCTGTCATTTCTGCTACAAATTCTATTTAATAGCTGTCAATGCGGAATGCCAATTATCTCAAGAAATTTTTTCTGATGTGGAAGATTAGCCTAAGCCGCAACCACAGAGCATACTAAAATAAACCAAGAGCGTTGATACCAATTGTTGTGTAATTCGGGTTAATTTCCACCAATAACAAATTTACCTTCGAAACTATTATCTAGGTGACTAGTGTGAAAACGATTGTACTAAAAATCACCCCAAGGTATATTCCAGGAAAGAGGAGGGGTCACAATGGTCCCTCTTAAAACCCACTTTCCTTAGACAGAACTACCAAGACAAGTAATTTTAATAGGACAATAATTAACAACAACTATACCCGACAATAGCTATTAAATAGACATAAAAGAGAACACCAAAATATTTCACTAATAGAAGAAATATTACAAAGAGAAAGAAATAATACAAATAGTCTTTAATATTGAAGAATGCTTATATTTGTGGGATGATTAACTAAGGAAGAGGATGACTTTATTTATAAAAAAAGAATTTCCCCTCCTCCTTATACACAACCAATGTGAGACTTTGCCAAAAACCAACACTTCTTGTCAATGGTGCAAAGAGCGGTTCAACTGGTTGGGATGATGCCAGAGACCCAAATTTGAACCCGATTTTGTATACGTTCAAAACTGATGGGACCGGTTCGAAGTTCACCGTGATGAACCCGTCCAATATTCCCCGTATGTACCACTCATCGTTCACCGTTCTCCCCGACAGAAAAATTCTCATTGCAGGAAGCAACACGAACCCAGGATACATGAACAAGGCAGTGTTCCCCACTGAACTTCGGGTCGAAAAATTCTCACCCTATTACTTGGATCCGAACTTGGCCCAATTCATGTAATAGATCGTCGGTGAACACTCCGATAATCAGGTGAAGTTCGGGCATAAATTTAATGTGCAGATTCATGGAGGCGATGCAATTGACCATACAAAGCTTCAAGTGACAATTTACTCTCCGCTATTTACGACGCACGGGATCTCAATGAACCGGAGGTTAATTCAGTTGGGGATTGAGGAATTCAACAATAGAAAGATTGTTCTTCAAGCTCCCATGAACGGAAACATTGCTCTACCTCGGTATTACATGCTTTATCGTGAACTACAATGGTGTGCCTTGCCTTCGACCCATGTGGCTTCAGATTCTTCCGTAGAGATTTCAACGGGATGAAGCCTTCAATCGTTGTCACCGCTAATGTAATTATTATATAACAAGAAAAAGAAAACTATGATCTTTTGTTCACATTCTGTAATCACAACGTTGAAATCACATAATAGAACGAAAGAGTTTGTCTCTCAACGTTGAAATCACAAGTATATATAGTTATATACTCTTACCTATGCCTACAAAATATATATTTTGTGAGGAACAAGGAGTTTATCTCTCAACCAAGGATTCTTGGAGTGTCGATTCAGGAGGTCTAAGTCATAAACGAAGTCCTAATACGTATTAAATATTGCTACAATGGCCAATACAATCACAACTATCACTCTCCATCCAATTCTCATGGTAAGCTGTTTTGAAATTAACAGCTATAATGGTGAAGAAGTATTTGAGTCCATTGTATCTTTGGACTGGATCTCTCTCTTCCAATAAGCGATGCAAGCATTGGAGGAGGCGAGCCATGTATGGAACCATTGCCACGATGAAGTATAAATTTTGGTACACATCACTCTTTTTGCAAATATGCTTCTTGTGTTTAAAATCTCCCCACAAATAATAGGAAATGTAAAACTGCATGCTCCTAATGGCAAAATTCATCACAATGCTATGACGATATAACCACTTTCAAATCTAAAACTAATTGGAAAGATGACACAATATATTTTTCACACAAACCTGGCTAGGTAATTGATCAACTAAGAAGAAATCTGGGAGTGTGACCTGCAATATGAAAGATATGTTAAATCTAAAGTTACGATCAAATCTAATGTAGAAAGAATTCACATTTGATGTTTAACTTATCTTATACGAAGCAGCGCAGAAGCATGTGAGGAGGAAGAATCAACACATGATTTTTTTTTATTTTTTTAATTGTCACGTAGTACTTCCGTTCACGTAGTACTTCCGTAAAGGAGTTAACGAAAGTTAACAGCTGAAGGATTAAATAGGACGAACCAATAACTTAGGGGGACCAAAATCACTATTTTTTTTGACCTAGTAACCAAAATTGATCAGACTGAAAATATAAAAGATCATTCGTATAATTTACCCATAAAATAAAAGATAAACTACACGTTTAATATCTTAACTATCATTTTTTTCTATTTTGATCAACTTACTATTTTTTGTTTTAAAATCATACCTAACATAACAACAGTTATGTTAATCTTTTAAGACGGATGAAAAAAATAAACCAAAACTTAACGATATAATTTTAAAAAGAATAATATAAAACACATTATAAAAATGGGAGTGGTCCCATCTATAGCATAGATTTCATCACCCACCCGTTTGTTTTTATATTGCTATGCGGATTTGAAATGTGACTCCAATCCAGATAATAAAAGATATTTTTTTATAATCAAATAATCACACTATTTCAGAAGGATTTACATTGAAAATTGAAACGCTATAAATATTAAATATATACCCTCCGCTCCCTCCACTGGTCCAACATCCGAACCCTCAAATATCGCCAACCACTATTAACTCTCTCAATCACCTCACTGAACACATCCAATGGCTCCGATTGCTGTCGGTGATGTGCTTCCTGACGGTACTCTCTCCTACTTCGACGCCGAGGATAAGCTCCAGCAGGTGTCCGTACACTCCCTAGCTGCCGGTAAGAAGGTCGTCATTTTTGGAGTTCCCGGTGCCTTTACCCCCACTTGCAGGTAACGATTCTATCCTTCTACCTGATGTTTTTAACCGTCCGTTTCCGGTCAACGGCGTCTGTTATTTTTTTCTTTGTGGATGATTTTATGGAGGTTTTTGAATTGTTTTGATGCAGCTTGAAGCATGTGCCTGGGTTCATCGAGAAAGCAGATGAGCTTAAATCCAAGGGCGTTGATGAAATTATTTGCATCAGCGGTAAATTTCTATTTTTATTTTTGGTCATTTTTTTTCTAATTTACTTGAAAAAGTAATTTTCAGTTGGCGTCGAATTAGTCTGTTTTTTCTGCAGTCATGGAAGAAATATATGAAATCTTCTTAAAGTAGAATTTTAATTCGACTTTGTATATGAAACGGTAGAAGTGAAGGAAATGTGCAAGTGTTTCCATTAACAGACTGCTGAATCTAATTTTATTTCTATTTACTTTTGATTATAATTGCTTTTACGAAAGAGAAAAACACTGACCATGTCAGTATTTTTTTTTAAATGTTATCTGTTTCCCCTATGAAACAATTTCAATGAAAATGATATCATTTTTTAAATATATATGTTTTGATTTCTTTTGTAGTTCCAATCTAAATGATTTTTTTGTTTCATTGTTTATCGATTGACAGTGTTAATGTTGGTGAATGTATCTATCCGGTCTTTGTATTATAGTTAAAGTGCAATTTTATCTCTGAATAATAGAACTTGGGTATTCCAATGCATGTATGATTGATATTGGTTCAAACAAGTAAATGGAAAATGGAAAATCATTTAAATGTCGACCTAAATCTTTGAAGCTTGACAATGCCAGATCTGTAGATAGAACTAAAGCATGAAAATAATTTTTTGTTGTATGTTCTCTCATATATCAATTCAATTACATGGATTTTAGAAGTCCACATCAGTATTTATGCAATTTTTCAATAGCATTGTTATTAATGTTACTTGTCTACAATAATATTAGACATGCATAGATTAAATAAACATGGATTAAATTGCACTTTTGACTACAATAATACACAGATTGTTTAGATACTTAACCGATAATGTCCTATCTTCATTTGAATTATATAATTTTGGAAAACATTCTTATTTGAAACATAAATATTACTTCAAAATTCCGAAAGTTGGGAAAAAATTGTTTATAAGCAATAGTTAAAGGCTTTGATGCTTGATTACCTGATTTGATTAGATTATGGTCAGAAATTAGATATTGGCATGTTTGAAAGGTATGGAGACTTTAAGCTTCTAGCTTTGTATCGTTTGTAAAATCCTGTTAATCTGGCTTGAATGAATTGAATTTGCAGTGAATGACCCCTTCGTGATGAAGGCATGGGCCAACACATACCCTGACAAAAAAGATGTCAAGTTTCTGGCTGATGGTTCAGCAACATACACGCATGCCCTTGGTCTCGAGCTTGACCTTGGCGAGAAAGGGCTCGGCACTCGTTCAAGGAGGTTTGCGCTCCTGGTTGAGGACCTCAAGGTGAAGGCAGCGAATGTCGAATCCGGTGGGGAGTTTACCGTGTCCAGTGCTGATGACATCCTTAAAGCACTTTAGATTTGCTTTGTGCACAAAGGTCTGTTTTCTTGGCCTTGGAATACATAGCTATCTTCTCAAACTACTGGTTTCAGTCCTTATAATAGTGGAACATCATGGGACTGTTTTAAGTAGAACATCATGGTTATTAATAATGGCATATACCTTGCTCTAATTTTCTTCTTTGTGTTGCAATGTGAGAATGCTATATGTGATGCACTGATTGGCATTGTTTGAAAATGAATATGTAATGTTAAATGTGATGCAATTATTGGCATTCGAAAAATGAATATGTAATGATAAATGTGATGCAGTAATACGGTATTGTTTGATAAACATGCATATATATATATATATATATATTGGGTGGAAAGGTATTATTATTCGGTAGAAACAAGTCGATTTAAGTTTAAAAATCGTTTAGGTGTCTAATTTATTTTTTAAATATGATATGGACTTTTCTGCATGTGAAAGTCCATTGTTATCCAAAACTGTTTAAGCTCTAAATGTTACAATCTTGATTTGTCAGCGCAAATTAGAAAGTATGAAAATATTTTTTTATGGTTGAAAAGATGATTATTGAATAAAGTAACTTTATTATCCTCAAGTTTAAGAAAACAACTTTAATCTCTCTTCTTTTAATAACTGGGTTTTAGTATATTTTGAAAAGTTGAGATTTAGGTTTCATTAAGCGAATTTAATAGTAAAATTAGTTTTTTTCAGATTTTAAATTTAAACAATTGTATTGTTTTAAATGATTAAAAAATAGGATACACGTTTAGTATCTAAACTATCAGTTTTGATTTATTTTAGTATCTAAACTTTTTTTTTTCAAAATCATGTCTAACGTTTAGTTTTTATTTGATTTTAGTACTCCGTTGTGAAGAATTAACAACTTGTCTAACGTGTCATAATTTCGGTGGACGGATGACCAATAAGAGCGATAGATTATGAGAGAATGATAAGTCGATCAACATAGTCTAGTTTCAGACACAACTGATGGTGGATCATGGAGATCGAAGGATAAAGAAATCAAAGAGACAATCATCGATTTAGGAAGATTGAGGCGTTTTTAGTGAAACGACAGTTGGAATCATGTTCAAGGGATCAAAAAGTTATGGACTGAAAAGTTTAGGTTTCATCAACCAACGAACATGACAATAGGCGATTGTAGATGCAACAACCAATGAACTTGTCCGTTAAATTTTTAACGGCGGGGTATCAAAATAAAATAAAAACTAAACATTAGTTATGGTTTTAAGAAAAATGAAAATTTAGATATTAAAACGGATCAAAATTAATAGTTTAATAACTAAATATGTAGTTTATTCTAAAAAATCATTATAAAACAAATATTAATTTTAGGCAAAAGGTTATTTGAAGCCCTTGAACTTTTTAAGAAAAATTAATGTGAATTTTGAATTATTTAATGTGCCAAGTCAACATAAATTAAATGGAATTGTCAGTCATTAATGGAAAAACGTTGATTAATGGATCACAATGATTTTTTTGTTAAGAATGTTACATTGGGTGAAAAATAATTCAAGAGTCCTGTTAATTTATTTTTAAGTTTAAGGACCTAAAATTTTACCTATTTTTTATTTTGAAAAGTTCAAGGACCTAAGATTTTACCTATTTTTTATTATCTTAAACAATTAAAGTTTAGTGAGTTTAGTTAATATGGGTTCAAGGGTCGTATTGTTAGTCAATGTTTTTTATTTTTAGGATTGAATTTGGTATCATCACGACGACTGATTAAGATGATGTTTGTTTGTTATTATGTTGATTTTTTTTTCTTTGAATCTTTGGCTTGAATTTAGATATGCGATTTGCGTTTAGTAAGTTTAAGGTTTTCTGGTGGTTTTGATATCAATGTTTTCCAGAAAGTTCATGGAACCGGTATGAGCTTGTTAGTTAGTCAATTAATTAGACTGTTTGCAATTCTTCTTTGTGCGGTAAATTTTACTAATTCACAAGTTAATTACTTAAATTTAATGAGAAGTGGAAATTCACAAGTTCTAATTGTCTATTCCATTGCTTGTTAAACAGGTGATGTGTCGACCTTGCCCGATGTATCTGTGGAGCTCGTCACTAATGCTGTTGAAGGTTCCTGATTCCTTTACTTATTTTTAGTTTTAGTTATTTTTTTTCGCTGTTATTTATGGCCACCTTATGCAGTACTTCCATTCTTTCAGATTGCAAGAAGCCTGTTGTGGCAGCTGTTGAAGGATTGGCTCTTGGAGGTGGCTTAGAATTTGCAATGGTTTGTGCTTTTCTCTCCCAATTTGTATTTTACTTGATTAACTTCTTTTGCTAACAGTTTGTCTGTCATGATCGTAAATTTGCTCAGTTGTCTAATCTTTGTTATTCTTATGCAGGGTTGCCATGCACGTATTGCTGCCCCTAGAACTCAACTTGGCTTGCCAGAATTGTCACTTGGAGTGGTACCTGGGTTTGGAGGTATTGAAACCCCACTGTATATGTTCATAAAAACTTGTAGATGGATTCTTTTGTCTTTAGATGATAGCTGCTAGTTTGTACTTTTCATGCACTGACCGTCTTGAATTGCTCTTTCAAAGGCACAAGGCTTGTGGGGCTTTCAAAGGCTATTGAAATGAGGCTGGTGTGTTTAATAATTTTAGTGGATTGTAATTTATTCTGAGTTGTCATTTTACCTGTTGAAAATGCTGCCATTAAGTTTTCATTCCTTTGTTGTAAACCAGTTTCTGGACAGATTGAGTGGATTTAGAGAAGTTAAGTTTTCTGAAGAGAAAAATGTTTGAGATAATTGGATTTAATTTACTGTAATTGTTCTGACAATACAATGGATTAAACAGCAAATAAGCTCTCTTATTTATAGTAAGACCCTAAGCTGATGTTGTATCTTTCACCCTCTTTAACTTTAAAATGCATTTCATTGTAAATGGTTATGGAGTCCACCTTTTCACTTGGTAAATCTAATTCATGCAATTATAATGCTTTTATTTATAAAAGCCTAATATTTATATTTTAATTTATATATAAATAGAATAAATCTTAACTAAAATTAAAATTTACATTATTTGAAACTTGACTATAAGATATTTTATTTATAAAAATAATTTTTAACTAATAGACCACCTAATAAGATTACCTGAATATGTTCATATCTTATAATAAAATAATATATTCATTAAAAATATTTAAAATCATATGGACAGATAAGGATGGGTTCATATGTACAGATAACAATACACGTTCATCACGTTTAAATATAACTGAATATTCATTTTCATTGGAATAGATGTAATCAATTTGATTTGATTTAAATATTTTTTATTCAATTTGATTTGAATCAAGTTTAATTTAAAAAATTATTCTCTAAATTAATATAAAACTTATCATCAATTTTTTATTTAATATATACATGTTATATATCGGTAGTTTTGCTATGCGGCAATGTAATTTAAGAATCGAAAATGTGATAAAAATAATAACATTTTAGGTTGAGTACAACATAAAATGTTTTTACTAAAATTTTCGATTGAACACGAAAAAAGGTAATATTTTCGATTGCCAATTGAAAATGTTATTAGAAAGATAACATTTAATGTAACATTTTAGGTTGCGTACAACCTAAAATGTTATGATTTTCATCATATTTTCGATTACGCCCAAAGTTACCGTTTATATCTATTCAACAGATATACTCAACATATTTATAAAAATAATTATAGGTACCGTATTTAAAAAAATATGAAAAATTTAAAATGCTTGATTGTATCCATGTTGGATGTATATATACTTCAGTTAAATCTAAATAAAACTTCACATATTGAAAATTTATTGAACAACCTTCATGGTTAAAGAGAATACTATTTTTGTTAGAGATCTCGGATTTAAACAATTGTGTCTAGAGCAAATTGGAAGTTTGATTGCACAAATTATTGTTCCATTGAAATCTTATATGGAGTTGAATATACACATAATTAAAGCTTTCAAAACCATCATTTGTCCTTTGTGTTTGTCTCCCTGTTGTTTCCTTCCCTTCTAAGGTTGCCGGATATCATCATCCATCTATCGAGATCACTCGGATTTCTTAGGCCGGTTACGTTTCGATCTTCTCGACATGGGAAGGTATTGGCGTAGGACTAAGTGGTGGCCTGGAAGTTTTTCTGTCATTATCAACCTTAAGGAGTTTTTCCACATCAGTTGTACTTGGTGTAATATAACTCCGACACATGAAATCCAAGAGTTTTGGTGTCTCTGAAGGACTCCGCCTCGCCACTTCATCGTCGGAGTTTGAGGATCTTTGCTTAAGACTGTCCGCATGAAGGACATCTTCGATTCTAGACATGATTGTGAAAGCCAGACTCTCTATAACCCTTGAATAGCTCTCTAGGATAGCATGTCCTACATCCTGTGAAGTTCGAAGAGTTCAAGTTTTTTCAAAGTTGAAGATAATAGCAATGTCATTTCTGTAGTCTTTACCTTGTTTTCTTGGATCTTAGATATATCGAGTGCGGATTGCGGAAGCCCCGGATAGCGATGCTTAAGTAGGCCTAGGATCATCTCGACCCTCTCTTCGAAGAGTTCCCGCTTCTCTAAGCTAATGGCTGAACCCCAAGACGACCTTCCATCTTTGTGGTGCATTTTCCTCTTCCAAACAATCATCGAGGCCTCGATTCTGTCCTTAAGATCGAGAACTCTGTGTTCGGTCGACAAGTCCATGGTCGAAAGGAATTGTGAAGGATCAAAGTACTCCACTGTGATGCTTTTATAGATTGAATCACCAAGGCTTGCTCTTCCGTTCTACATTGACATCATCAAGAACATTGATCATAATCTCGAACATTGTTTAAACGTTTTAGTTTAAAGAGTTCCATTTCTTTACCTTAGGGAGCGAATCGATGTAGCTTTCGGGGATTTCGATTTCGGATAGGACTGCAGCATTGATGGCCATAGCTGCTTTTAATACCTGGTTCACGGCCTCCTTTTCGGACTGCAGCCATCTTCGCGATGTTTCCAGCAACCCATAGGGCGGAACCTTAACCACCGGATGCCACCATTTCCCTCCCCTTCGGCTGTTTTTGTTCTCAAGATTGTTTCTTTTCGAGACGTACCAAAATTCCCTTTCTTGTCCGAAGTTGTCAAGAGTCTCCTGTTTCATTACAATTTGATCATCAACACTATCACAAATCATAACCACATTTTCATCTGAACTAATCATGATAAAAGATATGGTTACGCACAATAAGCAACGAATCGAGTTTGCGCAGGCCGGGTATGTTGACGAGCAAGTCCTTCCTTTGTTTCGTGACCATAATCTATCGACGTAGAAACCGGGTTAAAAAAAAGGTGATATCGTAATCAAAATGCAACATGAAGTAACAGTTTTATAAGATTTTTGACTGATATGAACTCGAATTTTCGAAGATAGGTAGAATCTATACCTCCATGCACGTCCCGTCCTTTGATATCTGTTGCGAAGGAACAAATTCAACAATGTGATCGGTTACAGATAAAAGCCAATCCATTTCTTTTCTCCACCTTGCCTTCCTTTCTGGTGCCATTGGTGCCAATTTCCCTTGCTCTCCAAATATGGATGCTGCATGAGAGAACGATAACGACCATAAACAATTAAGCTCAAAATTATAATTATTTACATTTGATTCTGTTCTATTTCTCGAATTAATGTTTTGTCTAACATATATATTTTTTGGCATCGATAACGAGGATACGATCCGTACCAGCTAGATTAGTGACTGCATTTGACAAAGCCAAAGCTGAAGAAACACCTTTGCCTCCTCCAGACATGTCTTCACCCAAAAGCAACTTGGCAAACCTCTCCTTCATCAGTTCCAAATCTGTAAAGGGAATCATTAGCATCATCTTCATCAGTTCCAAATGTAGCTAACAAGGAAAATCTGGGCTTAGCTCGGTTAGTTCATGCTGTTCAAAAGCTAAGATCGAACTGGTTTTTAGTTCCAATCTTCAAAGTACATGGAAAGGAGTTGGAGTTGCACCTGATTGAAGGCTCTCCTTGGGGGAAGACTCTCCTGTAAATTGGTGTTCCTCCATTGATTTGCCTTCTGCATTTCTTGCCTCACTACTGCTTGATTGATGGTTGTTATCATCGTCTTCCACGGCACCATCCGTCGTCTGCCTAATGCGGAAAGACCCCCAGCTCTGAATGCTACGCCGCCGTGACAATGATTGGACCATGTCAATCGAAGCCGCTCTGCTGCTGCTGCTACTTCTTCTTCTTCTTCGTTCACACAATAAGGAAAACTAAAGGTAAAAATGATTATAACAAGGAAAAAGGTTTCCCTTTAAGTTCTTAGTTATAACAAAATCATAAATTTTACGCGGAAAAAACTGAGGTAAAAACTAAGAGTTAAAAAATAAGAAGCTAACGTTGAAAAATTTATTAGTTATAACAAATTTTGTTTTTCATAAACAAAATTTGTTAATAGATAAACATAAGCTATAAACAACAAGATGTAATTTTTAAAGGGTTTTTGTCTAAGAAAAGACAAATCAAACTAAAGTATGTCCGTGCTGTTATAATGGTAGATAAAATAACATAGTCTTGCGTTGCCTTCATCTAATTTTAGTAAAATGTTTAATTTGGTAACTTTTGTTGCATTGTAACCCCTATACTAATTTAGTCATTAATAAGGTGATTTATGATGTTCAGTATGATTAGATGTTCAATTTAAATATGTTTCGAGTTAGGTTAAGTTTTGATCTAATAATGTAATATATCGTGCTTGGTTTTTGACTACACAAGATCGAGGGAATTACAACATCAAGCACATCCGTAAATATTTAAAGAATAAGGATAAAATGTCAAAAATTATCTTTATTATTTGATAAAATAATTATTTTGACAGTTATTTTTTTTAAGTAATTTAACTATCAATATTTCTTTTATTAAAACACACATTTTTTAATAAAAATTATTAATTGACTAATGGTTAATATTTGTTACTTATATGACACCTTTACATGTACTAAAATGTTGATGTGATATGACAGAAAAAATATTTTTTAATTTTTATTTATTAAAATAATGTCATTCAATTTCTTTATTAAATTAGTGCAATCTAATCAGATGAAAAACATGCCATTACTTCATTGAAGTAAAAAGTTAAGAGATTATAAATTATAAATTAAATAATTGACCTAAGTGAAAAACACAACACCTAATCACTAAACTATATTAAAAAATTAGTATGATGTTAACAAATATGCTTTTATATTTTCATATTAATATATTTATAACATAAATATAATTTATGTTATAAATTAGTTTATAATTAGTATATGCATGTATTCAAATATTTATATTATTTATATTAATATTTTATTACATAAATAATAAATTTATAATATAAGAAGGTATTATTTATGTTATAAAATGTTAATATAAATAATATTAATATTTTAATATACAAATATAGTAATTATAAATTAATTTATTATATAAATAATATCAAAAATTATTAATTAATCAAATGATCAATGATTCTATATTATCTCATTTTATATGATTTAAATGTCCATATTTACTCGAGAATGTAAATATTTTTCCTTTTAATAAAAGAAAGGGTAAATTATATATTTAATATCTAAATTATTATTTTTATTCAGTTTTGGTACATAAACTATATTTTTTAAACTAATAAATAATACCTTACGTTTAGTTTATGTTTCATTTGGATACTTAATTGTTTAAAATTTAACAGTATATTGACGTGTCATTATAAGGTAATATCACGTCATCATTGAAAAAATTTGAAAAATATATATAACATCAGCAGTTTTATTAATTTTTTAATGGTGGGTATCAAATTGAAACCTAAACTAAACGATAAATATGATTTAAAAAATAAAGTTTAGATACTAAAATAGAAAGAAAGTAATAGTTTAGGTATTAAATGTGTAGTTTGCCCTAAAAGAAAATTAGGCAACGTCACTTACTTCGTCTTAGGGTTTTCAGTCCACGTGGCATTAGAATCTGAAAAGTTCGTTCGTGTTCTCCATTTTAGATCGACGAGGCTGTCGGAAGCCAACCGAAGGGGGAAAAACCAAAGCCATAGAAGTATTTCCTCTTTTCTTTCTCCCATGAAGGGATTTTCCCGCCAAATTAAGCTCTATCATCGCCATTATACAATTCAGCCTTACTTTCCTCTCAAATCCGTCCTCTTCGTTCTTCTTCTCTCCCTTGCCTTTCTCCATTTTAAACCCTCCTTCAACCCGACCCGTAACCAAACCCTAACCCGTAACGGTTCCCACAACCGAACCTCCCGTTTCAACTACATAATCCGCTTCACCGACTACAAACCGGCGTCCGATCATCGTTCCTACTTGGAATCCAGCCTTCGATCCAATGGTTGGTACTGGATCGAGAGGCGCAACCCGGCTGCTAAGTTACCCACTGATTTCGGGCTGCTTTCGATTGAGGATTCAGTTAAAGAAGCCTTGATTGAGGAAATTGAGAAGCTGAGATTTGTTAAAGATGTGAATGTTGATATGAGCTATAACAGGGGCATGCTTGTTGGTGCTTTTGAGAATGGGAAAAAACGACCCGGAAAGATTTTCACTTCGATGTCGTTTGGTGAAGAAAATCATTGCCACGATTCGGGTTTAAGTAATTCCTCGATCAATTGGAGTCGCCATCTTTTGATGCAGGTAAATTTCCCAAATTTGAAATTTTGTTTCCCTGAGAATTTTAATGAAGAAAGATATGGATTACTACTTATGTTGTCATTGCAGAGGTCTCAAGTTACTTCCCTGTTCGGAGCAGATGCACTTTGGCGAAAAGGGTATACTGGTGCTAAAGTCAAAATGGCTATTTTCGATACTGGAATACGTGCGGATCACCCTCATTTTCGAAACATTAAGGTTTATATAACTGGGGAAATGCTGTTGTTTAAAAAGAAAACTTTGGTATCGATATAGTTTGTTAAATTAGTTTGACATTGACGACCACTCTTGTTTTACCGAGTTAATAGTGTGGCTTTCAATTGGTAACTTTAATATTCAATAATAGATCAAACTTTTCAGGAACGTACTAATTGGACTAACGAGGATACTTTGAATGATAATCTTGGACATGGGACCTTTGTGGCTGGCGTTATTGCCGGTGAAGAAGCAGAATGTCTTGGTTTCGCACCGGATACTGAGATTTATGCTTTTCGAGTTTTCACTGATGCACAGGTAACGCATGTTGGTATTAAAAAATTTCTTTACTGTGTGTTTTGATTGGAAGTTGACCCCTGAGGCCATGACCTTGCAAATCTCACCTTTTGTCTCTCCTTGATTTCCTCTGCAATTTATCTGCTTTTCTGTTTGAAAATGCCTAGGATGCACTACATATATCTGAAGCTCTTTTGAATTGCTTATTACTAGAATAATAGAGTTATAATAAATTTTAGCTGAGAAACGGATAATGACAATGCCCTAAGATTTTCTTTTAACATTTGATTTATTCTATAAAGTTTGGTTCGATTGTGAGAATTTTGTCGTCAGCTTTTTGCAGGTGTCATATACATCCTGGTTCCTTGATGCTTTCAACTATGCTATTGCAACCAACATGGACGTGCTAAACTTGAGCATTGGTGGACCTGATTACTTGGATCTCCCATTTGTAGAGAAGGTACCACTCCCGTGGCCTGTGGATCTACTGAGGCTTAAACATCGTTTGACTTTGCCACTAAATTTTGTTTTGATAGCACGTGGAAATGCATCAATCATAATGCTTTAATTCTTTATTTAAGTTTGTTGAATTTTTTCTGCAAGAATTTTTGTCCGTGTTTAATCCATGTACTTGTGCCCATAAATCTTCTATACCTTTCTTAAATGATGATTCAAATTTGAGTTTCTCGTCAAATACTTTACATTTTGAAGGAGATTGCTCGTCTTCTTTGTACATTAATTTCCAAATAAGGAAGGGTCACTTGTGGTTTACCCACTTTGGTGGTGAAACTTGCAATATTTATGTTCACATACACTTTACCATACGTTCCTCTCTCTCTATCTTAAATATTATGCATCTGAACGCGTTTATGGATCTTCAGGTTTGGGAAATAACAGCCAATAGTATTATTATGGTATCAGCTATCGGAAATGATGGGCCACTTTATGGCACTTTAAACAATCCAGCTGACCAAAGTGATGTTATTGGTGTTGGTGGCATCGATTATAGTAACCATATAGCTTCATTTTCTTCACGTGGCATGAGTACTTGGGAAATTCCTCATGGGTAGTATATCCTTCTATTCTACAAGATTAGCATATTTAGTATTTTTGTACTTATCCAACTTGGTTTTGAAACTTTTAATAAGTATGTTGTATTTATGTCTCTCGTCCATTTCTTTTCTTTCTTTTTTATGCAATAACTTTTCCAGCCCATAATCATGTTCTCATTTTAATAAAGAAAAGCAAGATTGTCTCTCTTGGTTCCTGTCTCAGTTTAATTTGCTCAAGCTGTTTTTGCTCTGTTGACATGAAACTTATTTCAGTGTGCAATTTCTTATCAGTACAAGCCTTCTGCTGCATTTTTTTTTATCTAAAAGTGTTCAGGTCTAGGGTATGCCTTATGTAACTTACCCCTTCTTCTCATTACTGATCTTATAAAGTTGATAAGAACCTATGGTTTTATAGAAAGGGAATTGGGAAAATTAACAAGAAAAAGTAAATTTTGATCACTTCTAGTGGATCAACCTCCAAACAGTTGCCAAAAGGCTTTTTGTTATATTTTATTGCTTGAGAAAAATAGTCACATGGCATTACATATTTATAGGGTATGCAATCCTTGGTGACCAAGAATTAGGGTTCTTGAACAAGGAAATAGTAAACATTTTAAGGAAATTAAATATTCTGATATAAATTCATAAGATTAAGGAATCAATTATTTAAAATATTAAATCCTTAAAATCAATTATTCTATCAAAAGTCTTCCAATTCTCATTCTCATATTGGCTATTTTAACCTTTTAGCTAATGATTATAACATATGAAGTTTTAACTTGGTTAATTCCCTTTGCAGTTACGGTCGTGTCAAACCAGATGTTGTGGCGTATGGACGGGAAATTATGGGATCTAAGATCAGTACTGGGTGTAAAAGCCTATCAGGCACTAGTGTGGCAAGTCCTGTGGTTGCTGGTGTGGTATGCCTGCTTGTTAGTGTCATTCCTGAGAACAAACGAAAGGAGATTCTGAATCCTGCAAGCATGAAACAAGCACTAGTTGAGGGTGCTGCTAAGCTTGCTGGTCCGAACATGTATGAACAGGGTGCTGGGAGGGTAGA